TTCTTTTTGTTTATGCAGAGGAAACATGTGCATTAATGAGATAGAGAGAAAGACAGAGAGAAAGTGCTCCCCATTGGGACCTGGTTATGCTGCAATCCTTTTTTATCCAATTCTCCATCCCATCAAGGTCTTGCATACACACAAACACATGCATGCCCAGAGTGTTTTTTAAGTCAGTAGGTTCCCATCTTGAACCATGGTCAGCCAGGTGGGATCTGGCTTCCTCTATGGAGTATCTAACTACTGTGCTATGAAGCAGGTGCATTCCCAATGCCTTTCATTTCTTTTTACTATTCATTCTCTGTAAACTCAGGGTGGAGTTAGGCAAGTTTGGATTTAAACCATAGTTATCTAATAACTTTTTAAAGAGTAAGAGTAATGACCTCTCTGTGTGCCAGAGTTTTTTTTGTTGTTGTTGTTTGTTTGTTTGTGAGAGGTTTTTGCTATAGGGTGCATGTGCTCACCAGACAGACAGAGACAGACAGACAGACAGAAAGTGAGAAATCACCCCCCAGAGGGGATGGCCATGCCGCAATCCCTTCTCCTCCATTCTCCTCTCGGGATCTTGGGCGTGCACTCACACACGCCCGGTATGAGTTTAAGCCACTGGGTCTGGGACTCGAACCGCATTCGACTACATGGGAGGCCAGCGACATAGCCATTACGCTAACTGCTGGTTCCTATGCCAGAGTTTTTATGAATGATAAATGAGATAATGTACGTAAAGTCTCTAGGGAAGTGCTGGGCACATGGTATGAACTTAATACTTGCTCACTTTCTTGCTATTAATATTATTGTGATCAATATTATTGCTATTGCTACTGAAAGCTTGAGTTATTTTTTCGGACTGTGGCACCTTAGCTATTTGAGACAGCTGGTAACATTTCACTTATTTCTGTTGCAGTAAAGCTTAGAAAGAAAGAAAAGTAATGCTGCCATCCATACAGAATTGAAAAGGGAAAAGGATAGTGGATAATTTTATGTAAATTAGAAGGTCCTAGCATAAAAAAGGAACCATCTTTCTGTACCATGTGTTCATTACATTCTGTATTTGCAAATAAACAGCTGCTACATGTATTAGATCTCTGGGTAACAGACCCTTGTGTCATAGAATCCCTTATGGACAGCATAATTGGTGATAGAATAACACAAGGAATACAAAGCAGTAAGCAGTGTAGTGGTTATCCTGCCAGAGGGCACTGGAATCTCTCTGACATAAAAGAAAAGCTGCTGGATAAATGAGGAGGAAAAATGCATGATTAGTGATTAGTGATTAGCTAAAATAATGGTATCTTGGAGAGATCTTTTTTTCCTTTGGTTTGGTTGTTGTTTTCAAAGCATAGGCTAGAATCCTAGACATAAACATAGACCTCAAAATAGGAATTCTTAGGAGATCTACTAATGCTTTGATCTAAAGAGCCCAGAATTATACCTAGAAATGCTTGCTTTCCTGAAAATCTTACATACAAGTTGAATAAGAATGAAAATTATACAAAGATATTTGTAAAATTTGCAGAAAGATTTTTTAAATGCAAAATTGTTTAAAGAATTATTTCATTTAACTTTATTATTATTTTCCAGTTTGATCAGAGAGAGACAGAGAAAGAGAGAGAGAGAGAAAGTAAGAAAGCAAGTCACCATGTCCAGACCTGAACTGCAGTCAGCCATGTGTGAGTCCAGTGTCTTCAACCACCACATCACCTGCCAGCCCCAAAATATTTAAAAATATTTAGTTGAAAAATATTGAATATATTCAAGGTGTGCAACATGATATGTACTTCATACAAAGATTACCACAATCAAATTAATTAAGATATTCACTACTATCCAAGCTATATGTTAGAGTCCCAGAAATTGCTCATTTTATAATTGAAAATTAATACCCTTTAACCAGCATTTCTTCCATCTCTTGTCCCTGGCAACCACTATTCTAGTCTGTAGTTTTATGAGCTTTATTCTTTCAGAGTCTGCATAATTTATGAAATAATACAGTATTCATTTTTCTGTGTATGGGCGATTTTAGTTTTTTTGCTATAGCACATATGCTCTCCAGAAAGACAGAGAGACAGAAAGTGAGAAATCACCCCCTGGGGGGATGGCAATGCCACAATCCCTTCTCCTCCATTCTCCTCTCAGGATTTTGGGCACGCACACACGTGACCAGTGTGAGTTTACGCCATCATGTCCGGGACTCAAACCGCAGTCAACTACATGGGAGTCCGGTGACACAGGCATTACGCCAACTGCTGGTCCCGCAAAAATATTTATTTAGA